TTTATTATATGAGGTCTGTGGAAATAACTTCTCACATAAATTACTGAGCATATTACTTTTATATATTTTAACTTTTCTCTCCTTGTTATTCTATAACATGCAAAGAACATTTTTCTACTCTGTACCCATCTCCTCCGAATTCCTGAGAACTTAATTAAATGAAAGGAATGAATGAAATTCTTGACTACAGATTATTATTCCCTAGAGGTGCTTCTCATCCTTTGTCAACCTTGAGTGTCAGGATTTGATGTTATTATTTCCCCTAAAAGTACAGCAATGGCATGTTGTGAATGATTTTATACTTTTTCCAATAAGAAAACTCTAGTTTATAAAGTACACATCCACTTTTACCTTCTGAGAGAGATAAAGAAAAATAGAAAAGATACTGAGAAAATAATCAGTTAAATGAGGGAGACTGTCTCAGAAATGTCAAATAAACCTTGTAACAGAATAAATATGCTGGGTTTGTGTGTCTGATGAGAGCTGACAAGGCCAGGTCTTAGAAGCATGCTTGCTCCAGACAATAAGTATTCAGAGTGACTTAAATTCACAAGTACCTGGATTGAGTCAGGTTATATTAAACTATAATTGTTTTGGGGTGGGGGGTTAGATTATTTATGCATACAGAACTGGAGTACAGGCCAGAGGTGTGGAGGGTGAGAGGATTCACCAGAGACAGAGAGGGGAGCAGAACAGGCCAAGCAGATCAACAAAGTACACTGTGGAGAGGAGCAGTGGGCAGGACAGAAGAGGTCTGCAGTGCCATGTGGGTCACCTCTGGGACCAGGAATCAAACTCACACTGAAGCAGCTGTGGCCCGCTTGCAGAATGCTGTGCCACCAGTGAGAGCTTAAATTATGATAGTTAATAGTGAAGGGAAAAAACACCAAAATTATAGTCTTATTTGATTTTATTTAGAAATTTCTGGTTTATCTGCTATCATTTATATGGATAAACAAAAATCCATTCATTGACATTTTATTAATTAGCAAGAGGTTGTTATTCTGGGAATACCTAGGTTTTGTAGAAAATTTGCTTGAGAAAACATGTCCTCTTATTATCAGCTAGACATACCTGTGGGAACACCTACATGAAGCAATGTTCTCATGGTCCAGGTGTGACCATTTGCCTGTTACTGGCAGCTTACAAAACTTGAGACTCATTGCCCGGGAAGAACCAAATTATTTTATACAACAAACATTTATTAAATACACACTATAAGGCAGACACAAAACAAGACTCTCATGTACAAGAAAATTAAAATGTGGACTATCATCAAATAGCCTACGGGCCGAAATGTACACCAATCTGTGTACAAGAAAGAGAAAACATTTGCTCGATGATGTGACTGTTTTTGTGTTTTCCTGAGTTTATTTTGATCACTGAATACAGATATTAAGGACAGGCCCTAAGGTAAAGGCCCTGCTATTAGAACAAAGGGAGGGAAAGTATATGCCATAAGGAAGCATGGCACTTTAAGTTAAGTGCTAGCTTTCAAAGATAGTAAATTAGAAAATCTAGTCACAAAAAGAGGTTCATGTACTAGACACTAAACTCACTCTTGGTCATCTCCTTCCCTAGCAAATAAACTTTAGCTATATCACCTTGATGTTTATAAAGAAATCGGTCCAGAGTTGACTTTGGATATGTTATCCACACATCAGTTTCTCACTTTTTATCTAGGAAATTGACAATTCGTCTTTATATAAATACTCTAGAGCACACAAAATCCAGATTTATATTTGAAGAGTCCTGATCTAATAAAGGAATCATCCAGATGTAAACTTCCTTCCTCTTCAGCCCCATCCCTATCTCCCTTGTGACCAATTCATTATGTTATGAACTTCCTATAAATAGCTGGTAGAGAGAAATAGAAGCACTTGTCACCTTTCACAGCAGTATTAGGACAGTGCTATAAAGTGGAACTAGCAAATATTGTCTTTAAAGAATTAGTGGAAGAGTTAGTTATTTGTTGATCACTTTACAATATATAGATAAAACAATGGGTTATACTTAAGAAGATGCTTTAAAACCATACTCCCCCAACTGAGAAAGGATAAGACTGTTCCTCTGAGGAAGGAGATTCTTTAATTCCACCCAATTATATTAACCCCAGACCCCTTTCTTACCGAGATTTACATGTAGAAATAAGGTACAGAGGATATAAGTGATATATTCATGGTTACAAAGTAATCTGGTGTGTGGTGTGTTTGTGTGTGTGTGATTTTTTGCTTTAGTTGATGTCTTAGACTAGGTATGTAAATTACTGCATATGCTCACTTGGATCAGATAATAATACATTTTTTATGAGGTAGAAAAGCAGCAGAACACTAATTAGGAATATCATCTAAGATACCTTCATTTTCTTTCATTGGCAAATCATTTAAGTTATTGTTTCTTCTCATGAGAACAAACAATCAAATTAATTGGTGAACTAGTAATAAATTACTGGCAGGCATTTAGCATGAGATTCATTTGCAGATAATTAAGAACAATTACCTGGTTTCAGTGGCCCTTCTTGATTATCTAGTGACAGTTTGATACAATTAAAATATAAAATTACTTTATCAGTATTAATAGATTACCCAACTATAAAGTTCCCGATAGTAAATATGTTTCAATGGCTCCAGACATTTAAAATTAGAAGAAAAATTTGTTGTATTTTCCTGTATTTTCCTGTATTATAATGTTTAGTCCAACATTATCATTTTGATTAATGGCCAAAGTTCATATTATAAGTTTTGTTCCTGTTATGCTATCTGAAAAAGTAAAAGGAATAGAGAATAAGTAAAATACCCCAAATATGTAACAGATGATTTGATGAACTTAAATCAGAGACGTTTATTTCTCCCATGGCTTGAGTATTTACAAGCCTCTTTAAATTTTTGAGAAAGCAATTATTTTGCTCTCACTGTATTTAATGCTATTCATTGAACAACCACTGTGTAAAATATATGCCAGGATTTTCAGGGCATGACATGGGGAGTAGAAGCCATGGTCTATCTTACTTTCAAAGAGCTTACAAAGAAGGGATGAAACCAGGATAATAAATGCCAGAGATTTGTGATATCAAGGCAAGCGTTAGTATGTATGTTTGTGTTTAGAAACAAATTAGACTGTCAGTCCTCAACCTGGGTATGAGGTTGCTCGGTAAAGAACAGAGGAACTTGTGGTTATTGGACAAAAGATTGTCAATGGCGAAACCACATCCATTTAGTGCTCTGAAGGAGAGGAATGACAGAAATTAGGATGACTAGAAAATTCTCACATAGGGGGAGCTTGAATGCCCAGGTGGGTAGAGCAGTGGGGTGAAATGTGTGGTCATTGGCCTGGCCTCAGGGCATCTGAGAGTTAAGGCACTAAAAGAACATCACGGGTGAAGTCATATTTTCAGATCTTTGAAATTCACATTTATACGTTTATTTGTAGGAAATGCAAGGCTATGCACCATTGTGATGCAGGGGCTCCCAAGTAAGAAGGAAGTGCCACATATTGGCAATGTCGCCATCATACTTCCCTCTCTATACCTGCCCTGGGATTTTAAAAATAGCCATGTTTTTGCACATGGCAGGATTTCATCTACTTTTATAGCTGAGTCATATTCCATTGGGTATGCATGCCCCATCTTTCTCTTTCATTATTGTTTGGCATTTCAGGTGTCTCCTTACCTTGGCTGTGTGACTAGTGCTTCAGTGAACAGAGGGTGCTTCTGTTGGTTGGAATAACTGTTTTCATGTTCAGATAAGTAATTAGAAGAGAATTGATCGATCATATGATATTCATATTTCTAACTTTTTGAGAAATAGTTTTCCAGTATAATGCTGTTTTTCATATTGGCTGTGACAGTTTGAACCCCCACAACAGCATACAAGCCTTCAATCGGGAGCTTATTTTGTTATCACATATGTCTGTACCTTCCAGGCCATGAATGTTTTGAATGCAAGGAGTGTTTCTGATTCATTTTTTTATTTCCCCAGTCCCATGTGTTGGTGTGTAAAGAGCAATTGATAGAATTTGAATTAAAAAAA